TCTGTCTGTCTATGTGTCTATCTATCTATCTATCTGTCTATCTGTCTGTCTGTCTGTCTGTCCGTCTGTCTATCTGTCTGTCTGTCTGTCTGTCTGTCTGTCTATGTGTCTATCTGTCTATCTGTCTGTCTGTCTATCCGTCTATCTATCTATCTGTCTATCCGTCTATCTGTCACACTTACACCAGTAGACACACACACACACCTTTCAGAACAGTTGCTCTCACTTTACAGAGTGACCCACTGTCTAATGTAATGGCCCATGAACATGATGGGGTGAGTGCTAATGGTCCCCTCAACCAGCACTGAGGCGTGAAGCTGTGAATGCTAAACTGGACTTCTAGCACATGGATTAGAACAGGATATTGAAAAGCAGGAGTACAACAGAGCAAATGCTACAGAGATAGATAGACAGAGGAGGAGGAAAAGGGAGTAAAAGTGATGGTACCATGAGACAGAGAGCAAACAAGCAGTGATAAGACAAAAAGAAAAAGATGTGTGTGTTTGTGTAGGAGAGAGGGAGAGTGGATCAATAGAGGATAATTGCATGCTCTGCATGTACCAGCTCTTATTGTAGCTATAAAATCAGCTTGACTAATGACAGTCTGAGACCAAGTCTTGATTAATTAAAACAGCCAATCCTGACCTTGTCCCCTATGGCCTGTAGGGACGCATGCCTGCACATGCACACTCACTTCACCTCTGTCATGCACTTGTTCACAACCTGTCTTTAAACTCATTCACATACAAACACACCCACATTAAACATTTCTAAGCCTGGTTCAAGCTGCAAAAAGCCTTGTTGAGATTGATCCCACCACCTGGAATCTAAAGAAGCTTCAAAGACACAGAGAGAAGCTAAAGTGAATACATTCACTTTTATATCAATCTATGGCCCACATGACAACTTGTAGAAGAGGTTGCTTGCAGTGATTAAGCTCTGAATGTGTTCAGATGAACTCTGGGAAGAGGTACAGAATCCCTCTGTGCAAACACAACCGGTACAAACACTAATTCCTCATCCCTCTGCCAGTTAGTCTTATCAATGTGAATATGGAGGACAGACAGAAACACAGTTATAGCAGCTGAATTGAGCAGGTTCTCAGGGATAACTAAGCTATTTGTATTTGCACAAACAAATGTTTTGCACGTGTCCTATTTCAAGTTTTTATTGTGTGCTTTGCATTGAGGCAGAAATTCCCTGTATCCAAAATATTTTTCTCCCAAGGGAGACACATAAAGTAGCCTTGAACCTAGAAAGTAGATCCAGCCCAACAGTTGAATTCTTCAACATGTCTGAGTAATGTTTAACTTGTTTTAATTTTTTGATAAGATGGATGCACATGGATGTGCTTGGGTTTCTGTAAATGTTCTAGTGCACTTTTGTTGAAGATAAGAATCTCTTGATCACTCACATCTCAACACGTTGTTAGCTTAGCATGTAGCATAAAGAAGGAGAGGGAAACAGCCTTTATTTGTCCAAAGCTAAAAATATGTTCGAAGTTTAGATTTAAGTGGGAGTTATGTATATGCGATTGCATGTAGGGTTTACTATAATATCAAGGTTACTATAATACCAAATTATTCTTATAACACGGAACTAAGAATGTAATCTTCCAGATCTCTATAGGAACCAAGAAATACTTTAACACCTTGCAGTGTCTCCAATATATGTGTCCACCAGCAAAATATTGACATAAAGACACTTTCTAACTCTGACTTTGAAAAATAGAAATGATTATGTAGTAATACAATTTTAGATTGTTTTCCCATTCAATTTTTTCCATCTCCATGTGTAGGACACTAAAAGTCTTTGTAGCTATCTAAACACTGGATTCCATAGATTTGATTAACTCCTGCTGGCAAATGGTATGGACACACCCAAATCAACATAAAGTGCAGATGCTATGACTTCATGCAAATGTAATTCACTGTTAAGCAGCCTTCTAAAGAGAGTTCAGCTCTTGACTGTTTAATATCCTGGTCCTGCAGGATTTCTGAAAAACACAGCCCACTCCCTCTCCACCAACTCATATACTTTATTTTTTCAATTGCTAAAGTGTTTTAAAACCACTTTTAAAAGATGTGAACTAAAAGTTAACATTATTCAACGTTTTTTAAATAATTATGAATGAAAAAATTCTTCAACTTGCACAGTGGGAACTTCGTCTGATCATTAATACCACACGATATAAAATTAAGTGCCGGCTCATCAGGATGCAGCAATTACATCTAATTATAAACCCTCTCATACTTTCATGTATGAAACTTCATGATGCTGCTAACTGTCAGCTCCTGCCCTCATTATTGCATATAGACTGCATTACTGACTCCGACAGGACCAGGATCACAGTCAGTGGCAGGAAAGAAATCTAATGGTCCATGAATAAATCTTTTTTTTTTCCCCTAACATATTTGCAACAGGATGTGCGAGCAGTGCAGAGTGGGAGCAGAACTGCCTCAGTTTCCCCACATCTCTCTGTGCTCTCTCGCTCTCTCTGTGAAATAAACTTCCTCCACATGAACACGCTGATGCAACCTCCCAAGAGGATTTTCATTCTGCTTTATTTGTTCAAATGTAATCACTTGGCTGTTTTGCAGTGTGTGTTTGGCCACAAACAGCTAATGGGGATGTAGAGACACAGAGAAAGAGCTCAAAGCCTATGTGAAACTCTGCTTTCTGTCCTCTTTCCTTTTTTCCTCCTTGGATTGTATATTTATGTTGTCACGAAAAACACAGATTTTCACTTGAGATGAAACATTTTCATTTTGAGCAGAATTGTTGCCTCATCTCAAATGACGGATCTGTAAACGAGTCATGCTAATGGTGTAATCATGACTCTGAACCCTTTGAGAAGAAGCGTGTTTGGAAGTAATTTGGATTCTTCATTGTAGTTTGGCAAACTGACAGATTACCATGTAATACATGATTTATGGTATATTCCTTTGAATATGTTTGAAATGTACTTTTTGAAAAAGAGGGTTAGGGTTCTATTCTGTTCGCATTTTGCTTCCATTGCGTTTTTTTTGTTGTCATCCAGACCTCTATATTTCTCTTCACATTGTGCACTGAATCTGAGGAGCAGCATTCACCACATTCTCTATGGATCAAACTGAAAGTGTTTTGAACAGCGAACAAGTGAGAAACAAACTGTTAAATAAAAAAATGAAAAACCCCAGAGTGGCTTCGAGTGGAGCTGTTACATGGTGCTTTCAGTGTGGAGCAGAAATGGCTGCCACTCCATTCCACTCACATGCATTGTTTGGCTATCCTAATTAAATACATAAATCCTTATATGTTACAAACCAACAAGACAACATTAGTGAAGCAAGAAAAGAGCAGAGGAAGGAGTGAACTAATGGTGAGCATCATGTATGTTAGCTAAACGTGACTGCACATGTTTGTGTGTGTGCACTGAACACACAGAGCTAAAAGTCAAACAGCAGGGAGTCATCTGTCATTGTTTATCATGTTATATCCTCCTGTCCCATCTCCTTTACTCCCAGATACAAAAACACTGCTCAGACTAATTCATGCCAGAATGACTGAACTGAAAATACACTGGTTTGGCCTTTATACTAGAAAGCGCATTTATTACCTTTACTCCCATTTTCTCTGTCACCATTTAAGCAAGTGGAACTCAACTTAACACACAACACACACGTCATGTATCCATGACTTCAAAAGACATTTATGTCCTGGATTCATGTTATTTTCCTGGAACCTAATCTTATCCATAACTACATGTCTAAATCTAACCTCACCATGAGCATAAAACATGTCTTTACTGTAACATTTAATGATTTACATTATGAGGATTTGATTTTTGTCCCCACAATGTGACTCAAAATAGAGATGTAGGTCCCCACAACCAGAGTATTACCTGGACTTCAAACACGCTGCTCTTCCCTTCTCTGATGCCACAAACATTTACAACACAATTACTCCCCTGAGGGTGTGGGGGCGTCTGTACCTATAGCGTGTCACCCCACCCCCCCACCTGTTTAAATATTGATAGCCTGACTCTCTCCATATTAATGGCTGTTGATCACAGACCTTTGCAAGAGTCTGTGTTTATGCCACAGAGTCCTAATGAGGCAGGAGCTAATGCATATTTAATACCTCCAGCACATTCCTTCACTGTAAATAGCTTTAATGTGCTTATTAGGACCACAGAGACTTTTATGGTGTGTCCCTATACACCTCCTCGCTCAAAAACGGGGATGTTGCCTAATTTTGTCACCATTAATTTTTAGCGATCTGAGGAAAACTGTGGACAACAAACAAGCTTTATGCTACACTGATGACATTTGTGATGGATCAGTTGCTTTGGTCCAGTTTTTGATGTATTGAGAATTGTTGATTGTAAAATTGGTGTCATCTTGATATAAAACTGATTTGTGTGTTCTGTTAGGCTCCTGTTCACAGTTTAACTGAATAAATAAGAAAAAATAAAAGTAAATGCTAAGGGTAACATTACATGAAAAATGTGGGTGTTATGGGAACCTGACAAGCTAATTTCTTTGTTTGAGATTTTATTTAATGAATGATAGGAAAACAAAGTGTCAGGGTGGACTGACTGCATGCGCAATCCTCAATCAGAGCCTTGCAGACATTCTGTACAGTAAGCTTACATTCAGGTAACAGCTAATTTTGCTGCCATGCTGTGACATCAATGAAACCCTTGCATGCAGTAACTGCTGAACTTGCATTGCATGAATTCAGTCTCTATTACTGGATTAATATTTGATAATCTTAACCATAGACTGCATATAAAGTAGGTATAAATATAGAAAATATATGGACAACGCCTCTCCACTTCCTGACACTATCCATAAATTATGCCAAAACATCCTGAATACAAATGCTGCCATTTTGTAAACCAAAGTTGTCAATAAACCTGCCATGATTCGAATGTTCTATCTACTAACACGGAGGTGGCAGGATTTATGAATATAGGGCGGCCAGCCAACAAGGGGTGATCAAGATCATTTGGTTTCACTTTTGGAGACCTGTCACGTCGCCACCTTTATATACAGTCTATGATGTCAACTAGTCAGTCTTTATTTTATTAAACATGTCAATTTGCCAAGAGGACACAACAGTATGATTGATACTTACAGGTACAGGAAATCAGACTTTCATTAAAATTTAAATCAGTGAAGGTGTTGTGGTCTCATGACTCTATCACAGTTAAAAACAACTGGAGTCTGTGGCTGTTTCTTTAAACACTTTTATTAGGAGCATTTATAAGAGCTGCCACCCGATGTAGTTTAAACTGGAAGACTGAGCACTGCGTTCATGTGCAGAGAGTACGATGTCACAGTTAGTTACTTGTTGAATTAGGTACTTGTTGAAACAGAAAGCATCAGGGATCAGATTAAATCTGTTGCTACAGAAAAAATCTCTACTCTTGCAGTTCAGATGACATTTAAGCATTTAGCCTGTTGTAGTGAGCAGCATGGGAGCTGATAGTCCTAAAGGAGTGTTTTAAAGAGAATCAAACAGTGGGAAGATGAGCTCTGATCTTTTGTGTACAGGGGGTTGTGTCAAATGACATGTGGTGTGTCCTCAGGGTGAGGGCAGGAATAGAGATAAAGTTCCTCTCACAGCTGGAGTGGAGCGGATGTGTTCCTGAGTGTGTCAGGGGGCGAGTGTGTGCTCCCTTGCTGTGTGTGATAAAGAGTGAGCACACTGTGGTAAGATGCACACAGGCATTCAAATGGGAAGCGGCATATGTGCGCAGAAACACTCCTGCTCTCACTCTAGCACACTTGCAGCCCCTCACACGTTCTTGTGCTGATTTGCTGCTCGGCGCGCAGCCAGACACGAGGTGCAAGCTGCAACATTAAAAAGCTATTAAGCTATCATTAGTGGCGCCATGGCTGCCCAGTGTAAGGCCTCGGGCTCCGACAACAACAGCAATCTACTGTTATAGCATCTGGATGTACTGTAATGAACTCACTGTGTTTCAGAGATTAGCTACAGCCCATGTGCCTGAGATAAGTCAGGTCCTTACTGCCGCCACATAGGGAGAGCCAAGAACAGGGATAGTAAACAAGTAGTGCGACGCTCAACGGCACACAAGTGATTTATATTCAGGGTTTGGTAAAAGCTCCATGTCTCGTGATAAACAACTGGTGGAGAAAATGCCCCATCAGGTTTATTTGTTAAAGAGAGCAACAGAGGAAGAGTTGTTTTGTAGTGAAAATTAATCTTCCAGCATCTGCTGCTGGTCTTTGATTTATCTGATGTGTGTGTTTGGCTTTTTATAGCGTTTGTTAGTTTATCTTTTATATCCACAATAGCCATCACACACACACAGTAAATTCCTCATAAAGAGAAACCACTGTGCATAAAGAACTTTATTAACAGATTCATTGTTGTCAAGCTCATTACAATAGCACATTCAACTCAAGTTGTCAAATATGAAGATTCAAGCTGCTGTTTGTGACTGCGGTTGCTTTGTTTATAGCTAATGTAATATCGTAGGATAAGTTTTATAGATCTGAATGAATGTGGTCATTTCTAAATAGACAAAGCATGTTGGTGCTCAAAGTAAAGCTAGTGCAGACATGTGTTACTCATCTACTGTTGTGAGAAAAATCAAGCTTTATGTCCCAAAAACTGATTGAACAAATATTTGGTTGTGGAAGCAACCACTTACATTTAAAATTTGGAATTGTTTCTCCAATAACAGCTTAATGCTACATTAGCCACTACCTGCGTAACACACCCACATCTGTTAAATGACATTTCTTTTTTTTGTGTGTCCCTAGTGACACATGTAAAGCATCCTTGGTTCTCTTGAAAAGTGCTATATAAACTCAAGTTATTATTAAGATATTATTACCTCATCCATGAACATCAACATTGCAATGGGGGTGAAGACAACTCCTATAATCCCATGCTGCTTCACTAGGTCTTTTGTTATTGTTTTGATTGAGAGACCCCTCGAGGCCAATGTTTTGTACTGCATGCTTAATAAGTTCTAGTAATGTTCATGTTTTGCTACAGTGAAATCTTTTCACTACAAGCATCATTCACCCATTCTATCACTCATCATTCACACACAGCGCAGCTGTCAGAGGCAATTTGGGGTTCAGTGTCTCGCCCAAGGACACTTCAGCTTGTGGATAGGAGCAGCCAGGGATCAAACCAGTGACCTACTGGTTAATGGATCAAAAACTATCATTCTTGTTCTACAGTAGGTAATAAAAAAGGATGTTAAAATAATCTTGAAAGACTGAACCATACACTTAAGAAGCAATCTGCTTTTTATCATAGTCTTAATTAGGAGAATAATTGGCATTTATCTTTATCAATAACATACATTCTGTGTTTGCAGTAATCATCTGGCAATGTAGTCAGTTTAGTACATTTAGAGATAATCACTTGAAATATTTTTCACAATATTATGAATTGATCTTGTAGTTTTCTTCTTAACTCCTGAACCAAAAACCATGCTTTAAAGGTTCAGTGTGTAGAATTTAGTGACATCTGGTGGTGAAGTTGCATGTTACAGCTGAAAACCCCTCCCACTCCCCCTCTAAACATAAACGAGAACCTGTGGAGCCTTCAGTTGTCATAAAAACTCAAGAGGTGTTTAGTTTGTCCAGTTTGGGCTACAGTTAAAAACATGGTGGCCTTGGGAGAGAGGACCCGCTCCAGATGTAAATCAGAATCAGAAATACTTAATTGATCCCAAGGGTAAATCGTGTTTGTTACAATTGTTCCATGCAAGAGTAGAAATATAAGCATATAAGAATAAAAGAAATATACAAATAAAAATAAAACATGACATATATACAATATGTGTGTACTGTACATTGGATTTTTAGTGTTTATTTAGTGCAAACATGGATATGAATTGTAATGTCTCCAGTCTGTTGACTGAGAGTGTCTGACACTCTGAGTCAGAGGGAGAAGTATTTGTTTGTTTTTCTAAGTATTTTTTGCTCAGAGGGAGGAGTTAAGTATTTGAATATAAAAGGCTTATTTTAGGGTAAAGAAAACAACAATTTGACACACTATAGATAAAACGTACTAGAATTATATTATATTCAATTTCTGCCAATAGATCCCTTTCACCGAAATCTTACACACTGGACCTTTAATATTTGTGTAAAATAAATTTTAACGTGAAGAGAATCCAAAGGTCTGGAAATGTTCCTACATCAAGCACATGATTATGTTATTTGGCTAAATCAAGAGGCGAAACAACCCTCAACACACATTAGAGAAAGACAAAGCCCAAAGTAGACAATGTGTTTGATGTTTCTCTGAGGCTGAAATGCTCTTGAGGCATCTGATGCTCCCCAGATGCTGTGACAGGTATCACAAGAAGTTAGTTTGACGACCGTTACTCATGCTAGAATTAGACTTGGTAAGCAGCTGGCAGGAATGTTAGCAGGGCTGCTGGTGGGTGGATATGCAACAATGGTTTGGTTCCTGCATCCTGGAACAGAACACATACACACACATATACTGTACACACACACACACACACTCACATATACATACTACTGGTGGAACATTATGTTGTGTTTATAGATAAAGCTGGAGTAGCATAGAGAGCATATGTGGAGGTGATAATCACACAACACACACAAACAACAGACAGCAACACCCTTGCCCAGATATGGTATTATTCATAAAATAGCACTTTCTCTACTGGACAGAACATTGAGTCCTCTTACCCTCCTGCTAAAACCTGTTTCGGCTCATCTCCAGCAGAAAGTGGGACGCATGGTGGCCTTGATGTGACAGGTTGACCTAAAATAATCACTGAACCCAGGTGAACACATTATCGTATATCCCACTGAATCTTTTCCATTAAACTGTAGAGTTAAAACAGAAGTTGTGGAAGAAGGGAAAATTAGGACACATAAATATTGTGACCCATTATGAAATTATGAACAAAAAGTTATGGGACCCTTCCATACTCCCAAAATCATGTCTAATTCCTTTTACTTCATTTCCATATTCCACTGCAGGACAGCGCCACTATGCAGTTCTGTGCTAACAAGCTGGACAAGAAGGACTTCTTTGGCAAGTCGGACCCTTTCATGGTGTTCTACAGAAGCAACGAGGATGGAACGTGAGTGCCTGATGTAGTTTGTTTTTCTTATAATAACTGGTTTAAACAGCAGATGTTTTGCAGAAGTTTAGAGGTTCCAGGTTTGGAGACACATGAAACAAATCTGCAATGTATGTGTTTCCTGTGGGTATTTTAGCAAATCACAATGTATTTCATCAGTCACGTGTCTTTAAAATGATGACATCACATATAAAGCAAACACGTTTAGTCCAGCTTCAAAGGGAGGAGCATGCAGATATCGCATTTAGGTTTAGGGGTATTTGTACGCATATGTTGCATCAGGTGGAGCTGGAGCCAATCCCAGCTGAGCTATAGGTGGAGTACACTGGACAGGTCGCCAGTGTATATCAGGGCATACAGTTACAAACAACCGTTATTATATAAAACATTAAGATTAAAATCACTGATGGAACACCAGAGGACATATAGTGTGGTAGAGAGAAACCTGAATGTGTACATTGTGAGAGGAGTGGTTACTGAGGCATGCACAACATAAGAGGCTGCACCAAGGCAAGCATCAGTGGTCAGTCCAAACTCAACTCCCACAACTACACACTATTACATAAATGACTCCAGGAGAGCAAATAGAAAAGACGGGCAGTTAATGCAAAAAGCATAAAAGCAAAACATAATCTGCATTTTCCATCATGAAAAACACAGTCTGTTTCTAAGGCGGTTCACTCAGGGAAGCATAACTCTCTCCCATCTCCTCACACTTTCCCAGAGTGCTATTCAGCCTCCCAAGGGGCTCTGCAATTGTGGCAGCGTCAGCCCAGTCTAGCTGGTGATACTTCAGCAAGTGCTTTGTTAGCCATCTTGTAGCTTTTCTCATTATTTTTATTCATACATAAGAGGGTAGGAAATGGATCCCCACAGAAGTGCAAGAACTATCTGTTGTTGGGGCCAGAGGGAGGGGGTACAAATTAAAAAGCTGTGAGGCTAAAAGACTTGCAGTGTCTTTTAGGCTTGAGGCACTTAGTGGAGCACAAGTAATCCAAGGCTTTGAATTTAAAAACAGTGATACGCATTGTTGCTTTTGGAAGGGATATGTTGGGATTTGATAGGAATTTATGAGGCTCTGCTCTGCGATTTCAGATGTCAAAGAAAAATCCATTTGCATATGATTGTCACACTTGTGGTCAAGGAGAGGGATTTAAAAGCCAGACTGAAATATTAAATTGTTCTCTGTAGTCTAACTCTCAAACAGCTGGGATACAGGCCAAGCGGTAAACAAAGCTGGGTACAGCTCTATTTAAAGTATCTCCTGTCACTTCAGGATGCCACATAGTCTCCATCTCTTCAGATACATGCTCCTCCCTTCATTTGCATATTAAACTCTCTCTTTCCTGGCTTAAAATATTGACCAACAGTACTTAACTTTCCCTCCCTTAACACCCCCCTTCTTGTCTAGGTTTACAATCTGCCATAAGACAGAGGTGGTGAAGAACACATTAAATCCAGTGTGGCAGCCTTTCACGATCCCGGTACGAGCCCTCTGCAATGGAGACTATGACAGGTACAATGCAACCCCCTCCCCCACCCAGTTCTTTGCACTCTGATCTTGACAGCTGCTGTTTATCCTTCCGCTGCGGCACTTGACTCATTACAGTATATCTCCTCCTGTTTCTACTACGCGCACACACACACAC